TCCGCCAATTCATCTTTCTTCATATTTAAGAACTGCCACAAAGGAGGTTTAAATGCAACCTTTGCTGTTATTTTCACATTACAGAAGTAATGAGTGGTGTTTGTGGACACAAGGCTAACTCACATCTCACACTCTTCCTGGTTGACATTCAGACTGATTAACAGTGCCAGGGGCTAAAGGTTTGAGAATGTCCCAGCAGCGTAGCGCACAGGCAGCTAAATTAAACTCTACGCCCAGGATCTGCGTGGTTAGAATAATGAACTATTCCAATCTACCTCGAAGACCTGTCAGTGGGAGGGGTATTGTAGGAGCAAGAGGAAGCCAAATTGGGGAAGCAGAAATTTTATTACAACTATAAGAAGTCCCACCAACTGATTACATATTAAGTAAATTGTTTGGGATGGTGAGAAATTTGCTATTTCAATTTGCCTTGAACGTTTGATGGATTTTTTAACCCAGAGAAAAACTTCCTTTTTTTCCATTTGGAGAAAGTGGGAAAAGTCTTGTTATAGTCAACATCATATCCCTCTGTATTTCCACTCCCCAATTTTCCACCCCATACTCAGGGACTGGACAGTCTCAGGAAGGGGTGCAGACCAACCATGCTACTTGCAACCCAAGACCTGGTCATAGTCAGAATGCTGAGCTAAAATTGCACGGTGCGTTATGGTTTAAAAAGCACTTTTACTTACATGATATTATTTGATCCTATGACTGTCCTTTAAGCCAAATAACATTATCTCCATTATCAATTTGGGGGAATTTATGAGATATATTCACGTTGATACTGAAAGTGACAGAGCTGGAAGGCAAAGCCATCTTTTGACCACTTATTCATTATTCCTGCCACAGTAATGCATCTGTCTTTATTCTAGAACAGTAGCTTTTTAACCCTGACTCACATTAGAAGCTTTTAAAACATAGTGGTGCTCAGTTCCTATCTCTGGTCAATTAAATCAGAATCTTTGGGATGAAGCCAATATCCATCTGCATTTAAAAAAAATCTGAGAGTGATTCTAATCTGGAAGTGAGCAATCACCGCTCTGAAAGGTCTTTCTTTCTTTCTTTCTTTCTTTCTTTCTTTCTTTCTTTCTTTCTTTCTTTTTCTCTTTCTTTCTTCTCTTTCTTTCTTCTCTTTCTCCCTTTCTTCTTTCTTTTTTTTCTTTCTTTCTTTCTTTCTTTCTTTCTTTTTCTCTTTCTTCTCTTTCTCCCTTTCTTCTTTCTTTTTTGGTCAAAAGGAAGGTATTTGTTTACTCAAGGCAAGATATTATCCTGGTACTTGGTTCTTTGTGTGATTTCTAGCACCGAATTCAGTGCCTGGCAGAGTCAAGAAAAAGAACCAAAGTTACTACCTACTATGGGTCAGGTGCCCTGTTAATCATTTACTAGTAACTGGTCTACACCTCAGTGAGATTGGTGTCACTACCCCATTTTATACATGAAGGCACTAACGTTTGCCAAAGTTAAATAATTTATTCCAAATCATGCCACTCGCAAGTATCGGGGCTGAGATTTGAATCTACTTCTGCCAGTGCCAAAGCTCAACTGTGTTCTTCTGTGCTGGTGGTTTTAAACCCTGGCTGAGTCTGGTCATCTGGACTGGAGTAGAGACCAGATGTTGGTGTGTTACACAGCCTCCTGGGCGATCCTAACGTGTAGTCAAGGTTGAGCGTCACTGCCCCACACCCTTCTGCCTTTCCAACATGCTGAGAATACATTCCTTGAACTTGAAAGGTACTGGGGAAGGCCTTCCTTAGGCACGTAGGTATATACACACCTGCACACGCATTAGTCTACACATATTTCTCCCCATCCCTTCACCCAAAATTGGGAGGGATAAAGGCTCTCATTCCGGAGGGAATACTTTTTAGTATAGGAAATCCAGTTACTAGTATTTAAGTGCACGTGCCAAGCCTTTCCTGAGAACTTGTGCCGAGGGCCTGGGTATCTCAAGGGTGGCTGGGCAGCGGGAAGGGGCACAGAGGGGTTAGGGAAGGGCATAGAAAGTTGAGCTGGGGGGTCGGGGGTCGGTCACAAAGACAAATTAGACACCTTCACAGCTTTACTAGGAAGCAGCCCAGTCTTGGAAAGCAGATGTGAGCATTTAGACCAGGCTGTGAAGGGAATGGCCTTGTGACTGGGAGATCACGAAAAGGTTAGAAAACACCTCATTCAATCCCTGGGTCCTGGCAAGATCTCTGGAAGAATGAATTCGTGTTCTGAGAAAAATGCAGCAGATTTTCCTCCTTGTGTCGGGTCCTGGCTCCACTAATCTTCAGTAGGTCCCGTGTGCATGTGCAACACTGTTTGGGGGGAGATCACGAAAAGGTTAGAAAACACCTCATTCAATCCCTGGGTCCTGGCAAGATCTCTGGAGGAATGAATTCGTGTTCTGAGAAAAATGCAGCAGGACTCCTTGTGTGGGGTCCTGGCTCCACTAATCTTCAGTAGGCCCCGTGTGCATGTGCAACACTGTCTGGGTTTCATGGAGGAGGGAGTGCATTTCAGTCTCAGGTAAAGCGATTCTTAAGTGCTGCCACTGCTTTCAAAAGCCATGTCTAGGTCACTGTTATTTAGATTCTAATTAAGTGCTGCAGAATAGAGAGAGAGAGAGAGAGAGAGAGAGAGAGAGAGATGCATCTCCCTATTGGTATTCCTACAAAGTTAGAAGAAAACACAATGTAATTTTTACATCAGTGTTTGAACTGTGACCCAATGAAAAATTCTTAGTCAATTGTATTCAATTGGCTGCTCTCCACCTTAGTTGAAACAGAGATGTCAAGCTTTAAATACCAGACTATTTGTATCTGAGGGTCACAGCACAGTGACACCAACTTAAGGGCCAAAATAGATTGGATCCAAATTAATTTATTTTTGGCCAAAGATTATATGCTGCCTAAGCAGAAGGAAAATCATTGCTTTAGCGAAACACTTTGGGTCTCCTAAGCCAACATGTTGGAAAGGTCTCCTAACCTCTGTTATTGACATTTGAATTCAATTCAAGAAATGTTAATTGAAGGAATACTTCATTGGAAGATTCAAAATGGGGTAAAAAGGAGTCCTAATCATTTGTTCATCAAACATTAATCAAGCCATTACTATGTGCCCAGTACTGACCTAGGCTGTTGTCTCCATCCTCCAGGCTTCAAATCCAGCGGGAATACCCCCAATATTTCCTCAGTATCTCCCTGCAAAGTAGGAACAGTATTTCTCATACCTGGTGTACAGATCAGGAGAAAGAGAAGGAAGGCGGCTGGCACGGGCTTTCCTCTTGTTAGCTCCCCATTACTCCTTCTTCATGCTGACCTGAGCCACACGAGGAATCAGACCCTAATAAACCCAGCGTGTTAGTATTTCCTGAACATTCTAGATGGTTTAGCTACAGTACTTTTTGGAGTTCTTCAGGTAGTGGTGATACTTGCACACTTCCTCTGTGGGGTTAGTTCATTTTATAATTAGGAAAGGGGAGGAGATTTACACTGATATGGTGACCCCTTGGTTGATCTCTTAAAGCCACAGAGACCTCATTCTGGATCCCAAACCTTGTAGGGAATTACTGGGTAATTTCATTTAGAGAGGGGTAGTACATTATAGCAAGAGGAAATCTATCATTCATTTTCCCATTATTCTAATGTAACTCACTTAACTGAAGCAAGAATGCCAGATTTTATTTTTTAATCCTCACTAGAGGATATTTTTTCCATTGCTTTTCAGAGAGCGTGAAAGGGAGAGAGGAGGGGAGGAGGAGAGAGAGAAACATTAAAGTGAGAGAGACACATGGCTTGGTTGCCTCCTGCATGTGCCCTGACTAGGGCCAGGGATCGAATCTGCAACCGAAGTATGTTCCTTTGACCGGAAATTGAACTCACAACACTTCGGTCCTTGGGCCGATGCTCTAACCACTGAGCAAATCTGCCAGGGCAAGAATGCTGGATCTGACCTTCCACCCAATAAG